TGCTCTGGGTGACCCTACTGAGCTTGCTCAGGGATGGCAAACAGCTTGTACAGCTGTTGACTGTCACTGAGCTCTATGACTCCCACCCTCTTTGCTCCAGGCCCTCTGACCATAAGGTTACCCTTTTCTAGCTCAGTGCTGGGTGCTGCTTCCCTCACCATTGAGTCAGTACTGTCCTATACCCAAGCTGTCTTCATGTGCTCCTGCTGTGTAAAACCCAGACCCCAAACTCAGGAGACCAGGGAAGCAAGTATGTTTGGATACACCTGCAGGGATCCACCTGGATCTGGCAATACCATTGCTAATGGTAAGGCAGAAAACTGCTGACCTTTGAGAGACTCCTCATGGAGTCAGCTTCATGACTTTGTTCAGCCTCCCTCTGAATTCCAGAATTAAGAGCATGGTGTTGAAACTCAAGATTGGCTCTGCACAAGAAAGAGCATATGGGCATATGGGATCAGTTCAAGGCCATGAAAATAAAGAATAAACATATTGCCTCTAAGCAAACTGTAACACCACCATGTCACAGTGAGATCCCATGGCATGTACTGCAGGTAGGGCACCCCCACTGCTCTGTTGATTCCACTGGAGCACCATAAGAAATCCTTTTAACATTAATGCCTGTCAATCATACAGACAAAGATTTGGTTCAGGAGACACCCAAGCAGGAAAAAACAGAGTAGCTAAATGTCACAGGCCCAATGAGAAAGAGACTGACTAACACTGTTCTTACTTGCTTTAGGCAATCACAGTAAGCAAGCAGATTGTGTGTCTTTTATCTGGCTACGTTTTTCCCCTAATAGATGCAAATTTCTGCTTGTCACAATAAAAACCAGTAATTGTATCTGACACAGCTTTCACATTGAATCTGTTATTTTTTTCAGAAGTTTAATTAACTTTTGATTGCTATAACACATTTCAGTGTCTGTTTTGTAATTGTATGGAGGACTAAACAAAACACTAATCTATTTTTAATTGTGTATTAAATTTTTGTTGCTTTCTTTAAACACAACTAGCCGAGAAAATCAACGGTTCAAATCACAGAACTGTACTTCCACAACAGGAATACCAGCCTTCACTGCAAACAATTCTGACATTTGTGGGGACATTTGATTGGCTCTGCTGGAAGAGCTAAAGAGGTGGACCAATTCTGATGCTGCAGAACTGGAGTTGAAGAAGCCATGACCTTCCTCAGAGGTACTGTACAAAGTGCAAAGATAAAAACTACAGTACCATCTTCCTTTATCAACTTCCCCCAGAAGTCTGCAGTGGTTCTTTCAAATGCTGAACAGATCCGGGGGGCAGTTTGGAAGGCAAAGTGGGTGATAATCTTCACTCTGTCTCTTCTCTGGAAGAGCTGTTTCTGGTAGCTCTGCATAGGCATTGTGCTATACTTGGGGTCTTTGACAGGACTGCTCATTTCTGCTGTCTGACTTGTACTAGGGAAACTCTTCATGCCCTCTTTGCTTTTCTTATTTAAATACCTCTGGAGGAAGGAGGATGATGGGTGGGAGGCAGACATGCTCCTGACCTCTGGACAGTACCGGGAATAAGTCAGTACTAAATACAGTCATCATAACATTTCTTAGAAGTAAAATTATTCTGACACAACCAGCTAATCCTCTGTGCAACCATACTGCTGTTGAGCAGCACCTTGTCTCTTCCAGCTAATCAGCATTTCAGCTAACATTTCCAAGGCTGCAGTAGGCTTAATTTGGTCTTGGACTAGACTGAGAAACAGGCTACAAAAAACAATCACCAAATATAGGAGCCAGAGAACCTATTTGTGCTATTTTTGATAAGGCAAGTAGCTCAAAAAGAGAAACAAAGTAAGTAAATTGGGAGAAAAAGAGAAGAAAAGGTCACCCTCCAACAGAAAGTGAAGGACTTGACTCAGTTCAAGACATAGGACCATAAACATCACTTCAGAAACAAATCACACTAACATTCCTGTCTGTGGCACTTTAAACACCTTGGACTAAAGATACGGAATATCTTCTTTTGTTTCTTTGATGATCGACCTATTGTTTCCACATAGCCAAATTAAAATTGTACTTTATTTCAACATGAATCCCATTTAACAAATAATTTTGTGGAAATATCTTTACCTTGTGATGGAAATTTGCAATTTATTGTTGCAAATTCTACTTTCCAGGCTATTCTCTGATGATCTTTTAACAGCAATCTTTAACAGCTGGCACATTCTGTCTCACCCTTCACACCAATAGTGGCTCCTATCCAGGATCCTTTACTAAATGATTCTAAGTGATTAAAATTTTTTTGTTTGTTGTGCAAGGGAAGAGTTCCAAATTTGGCAATGGAGAAAATGAAGTGTTTTCTAATTCTTCCCTTGACACTCTGGAGCCATTCAGCTCCATCTGTCCCAAAGGAGGTAGTTCTACCAAGATATAACCCTTGGCAGCAACCTACTTTGTATCTTTGCTACATAAGCATCGCTGCAGCTTTATATAGTTTCTCTTCAAGACAGATAGGGACAACTCTGTCGATGTGATAGCCCCATGAAAGACCACTGATCATGTTTCAGACACCACAAAGGGAAAACATCCCAGATACATCTTGTCCCCTCAAAGGTGCAGTCAACTCCTGCTACTGCCAAATGGTATGCAACACCAAACTTAATAGTAACAACAAAAACCCAAAAAAAACCCCCAAAAAACAAAACAAAAAAAAACCAGCAACCAAAAAAAAAAAAAACAACCACAAAAATCAATCAAACAAACACAAACAAACAAAAAAACCCACAACCATCCCCAGGGAAGAATTCAATCACTTGAGATCATTTTGGTACTGAAAGACAAGGAGAAAGCTGAGTCCCCACAAAGCTGGAGTTTCCTTCCAGCATCCACCAACTTCTTGACAAGAGGATTTGTTCTAAATATGCATAGAATCACAGTATATGCTGAGTTGGAAGGGACCCATCAGGATCTTCAAGTCTAACTCCTGGCCCTGCACAGGACACAAAAATCACACCATGTGCCTGAGAGTGTTATCCAAACACTTCCTGAACTTACCCACTCCCACAAAGAGTAGGGAAAAAACACACCTCCGCTGCAATTTGTGAGACTGCCATCTGCCCTCTGAAAGAGAAATGATCTGAAAATAACCAGAAATGTCTTCTGGGTGCCATTCTCAAAATACCTACTTTCAGATCTAGTGACAACAAGCAGAGAGGATACAGGAAATATTCTGGGACAACTGTCAAATCCAAAACATGCAGAAAAAATGTCTTTATATAGTACCTGATAAAAATACCAATATATTTTATTCATGGATATATGCTTTAGATGTCAGGACGTGGTTTTTTTAATATAAAACCCACAGTCAAATCCAAATCCATGCCTAAAATTTATCCAACAAATTTACTATCATTCCTTGGTCTAAAAAGAGAGGCTCTTAATCTAACAATAAGCCAGTAAGATTTAAGAAATTCAAGGTGCAACAGAATTACTTGGCTTCCCAGGGAAAATACAACATAATTCCACCAAGAATCCATACATAAACAATGATGTCATAGTCTTTTTTTCTCTGCAATGTTTCACAGGCATTTGTATTGAAACTTGCACATGAATAAATGTTCTCCATCATACCCTGGTGTAAATAATGGCACAGCACCAAATAACAATCAATATCCTTATATACTAATAGCCCTCTATAATCTGCTCATTATAATTTGCTCAGACTGAAGCAAAATCCATTTTCCTTAACAATCAATTTATATCGCAAATATACTTGGAAAACCCTCTCATTTTAACTGGATTTCTACCTCATTAAACTCTTCTTAATGAGTCTGGGGATACAGCTTTCAAGAAAATGAACAGAAGGTACTTTAAATAAAATTAGCTGAGTTTGAATAAAAACATCATACAGCGAATAAAAAATGAGCTACTCCTAGTGCAATTTCCCATTCTTCCAGGAAGGTTTGCTTTGGGAAGAACAACCTCATTGAACACACATCAAGAATCTTCTTTTAAAATGACAGACAGAAGTCAAATATATCCCTATGTGTAAAACTGATTATTTATTAGTGCGTATGGGCCCTTGCTGTTCAATAGAGATTTTCGGTAATCTCACTCTACAATAGACTCCAGGTACTAAAATTCAGCTTCTTACTCACACTGTTATATATTAACTTTCTTTATTTAAAAAATACAGTATTTTTAAATACAGTTGTAAAAATGAATTTGGAGAGAGATAGTGAATTCCATATCATTCTATCCTGACGTGAATGAACGCAGTATTGTTCAAAACTTGTCTCTGTCAGAATTCATGTATGGGAGAAAGACACAACTCTTCCAGCTTTGAAGCTGTTCAAGGAGTATCAGGGTATGTAGCTACAAACCTGGAAGATAATAAAAGAACCACTTGCAATATTTTAACCTTTCCCATTAGCAGTGGGAGCTAATTTCAAAACTATGCACTTCTTTTTCCCAGATGATTTGGATCACTAGATATCCAGATTCCTTTTAACTGCGTGTTCTGTTCCCTCTGCTCCAATGCAGTACCATTGAAGAGAAATCCGCCAATTTGATAGACTGATCTCAAGCCACCTGAAACACTGAAACACAAGTAATGAACAGAAGAAATAACAAACAGTATTCAGACTTTCTTTTCCATGAATAAACTATACAGCATGCCGCTCTTATCACAAGCATGTAACATGTCCCCAGCAGAAGACAAGGAGATCTTTAATTTCTCATCAAAATAAGAAACCATAGCCCGCTTTCCTGCTAGCTATTGAGGCATCGGTAAGCAGAGCTGTAGAAATTGTTTCATTTTGCTCCAAAGCTTGTATTCAGCCGCCTCCATAGGGAGGGCGGATCATAAGCCCCGTTTAACCATCCACACAAAGTCCCGCTCACGCTCCCCGCCGCCCGTGACCCGCGGGCCCCAGCCGGTGCCGGTGCCGGTGCCGGTGCCGGTGCCGGTGCCGGTGCCGGAAAGGCGTGACCCGGCCCCGCCCTCAGCGCTGCGGGCTCGCCATGGCGGCCGCGCGGCCGGCGCGGGCCCGGGCCCTGCTGCAGCAGAGCGTCTCCGCCCGCCTGCAGGTGCGGCCGCCCGAGAGCGGCTCCGAGGCGCAGTGGGTGGAGGTAACGTGGGCCGCGGGCCGCCCCCCGCCGTCGGCATCGCGCCTTCCCCCCGCGGAGCGGAGCCGACCGGGGCGGCCGGCGGGAAAGCGCTCCGGGCCCTGCGCGCGTGCGCCGGCGGGAAAGGGGGGGGGCGTGTGGGCATCTGAGGGGAGCAGCCTCCGCTCCTTTCCCGGGCTGGGCTGCGCTTCGGGCCGTGCTCCGGCCTCGTCTCGTTTCCGCTGCAGAGCGCTCCCCTCGCCCCCCGTTATCAGCAAAGGTTGCGGTCAGCCCCTTCGGCAAAGGGACAAGCAGCAGGAGGCGCACAGCGCTTTCTCTCTGCTGCTCCTTCTCTCCCTGTGCTCCAGAGTCTACGCAGGCAGAAGCCTCTTCAGGATCACGACTGCACCACTACCACACGCTTCCCTTCTAACTGTGTTGTTCCTTCTTTTCTGAAATACACTCACAGAAACACTACAACCTTGGCTGGTGGGCTCAGCTGTCAGCTTTAGTTTGTTGTGAGATAGTGTTAACTTGGAGAAGAAAGGCCAGGTAGTGCCATGGGACTATGGCCGCAGTAGTTCTGATGTTGTTTGGCTTGTTTGTTTGTTTCCAGAACACTAACTAAAATTGAAATTTACCATGCAGACCACCATTCACGTTAAGGAAAACACTGTATTTTCCCCTTTTCCTGCCACAGTCTTCTATTGGGGGAGGTAAGTGGGTCTGCAGACTCTTCGGTCAATGTGCTGTACGTGCAGCCCAGGGCTCTTTACCAAAGCACGAAGGCTGCCCTTTGGCATGCGCTGACCTGCTGTAGTTGTCACTGCTTGGGAGTTACCTACACTAGAATAACTCATTTCTGCCCATTGTCAACTAGTTAGCCCACGGGTTTTTTGGTTTGGTCTCTTGCCCTTTTTAAAGACTGTTACAACAGGAGCTTAATACAGTCACTTCCATAAATTTTAAAAAGTAAAAGCTCTAGCACGGTTAAAGGGTTTGTGCATTCATTCAGCACATCTGAAAAGAGTACACTCTTTGCCTTTCACATTAGCCTTAAAACATTCCTCTCTTTGTTCAGAAGGGGCAGGTGGATCCAGCAGAACTAGTTTCTGCAGTATGGTCTGGGAAGCCAGAATGTTTTACTGGGAGGAAACAAGTGTGATCTCACAGATACTGTGTTTCACAGTGTAGTGTGTCTGTGTATACTGCATTGTTAGCCTCTCAGTATAAGGTTATTTGCAATGAAATTCACTTAGTGCAGCATAAATTAACTATAGGAGAAATAATCTATTTCTGGCTTGCCAATCACAGAAGTAATTGTAGATCTAGTTAAGAAAAGCAGAAATGTAATTTTGCTGTCTTTCTTTTAAACTATTTTAAAAGGTACATGTTGTGGTTGAGAGATATGATTAACTTTGCTTCAAGGAGGTTATGTAGTTTATCTCTCTAATTTGCAAAATCACTAGGAAAGTAACAGATATCACTAAAGGAGTCTGAAAGAGATTTGGGTGGTCTCCAGAAGATATTTTTCAGACATGAACCTTACTAATATTTGAGATGGGTACTTGGAAATCTTTCCCGAGTACCTGGGGCTTTTTAAGAGAAATCTGTTTTAACAAGAACTAGTCACCATGCAGAAAAAAGGCCAATTGGAAGTTTTTGGTTTTTGTTTTTTTTTCTCCAGTGTGACTACTTTAGAAGTTATTGTAAGGAAATTTTGCTGCTGACATTTTCTGGTAGGGTAATTTTACTCCCTGTTTTTGCATGTCAATGCAAAACCAAGAAGATAAAAAAGTACAGACATCACCAACAATTATTTACATCAGCCAGTGGGTTCCTGATGTTTTATGACCAATTAAATTAAAAGTAGGACCTGACCTTGAGACATTTCTAGGATACTCTAAGTGGCATATATTGTAGGTATTCAAAGCTTCTGAGCTGTAAGAGACCCCTGTAGGTACTTTAGGAACTTCAGAGCAGATGTTCCTTATCTTCAAAAAGGTTAGGAGTGTACTTTATACATGAACCTCTGCCTTCATTGTGTTTTCATGATTGAGTTTTTTGGCCTGTTGAGGGTTACTGCACATAGGATGTCTTGTTTATGGGGAGTTTTGATTATATACCCTGCATAAAAGGTTTATGTAAACAGCAAAATAAGAAGAAAAAAGGAATTCTTGTAAAGGTAGGAGTGAAATAAGGTAAGATTTGGTGTATTTCGTAACTGTGGGAGAAAAGAAACATAAAATGAATATTCAGCTGAAAAGTATAAGTGCCTACACGTCATGCAAAGAAAACGGTCTTTTCCTTATCTTATTTCCTTTGACTTCTTTTCTGGTTACTCTGGCAAAAAGAGGTTCAAAATACCAGGAACAGACTTTTTCTGTGACCTGTGGCAGATGATGTCATCTCTCTGCCACACTGAATATAAGAAATATGAGGAAATCTTCCCAGAGGGTAGTAAATCTGAACTTGAAATGGAAATGTCACAGAATAATTTATGTAGGGTAGTTTCACAAACTGACTTTCTAAGAATTAAAAAGATTTTGTTATCTACTGCATTTTCTTGGAGGAAAAATTAGTAAAAAGTGGAGATAATATTTTGCAGAATATATTTCAGTTTTGCCAATGAAATCCTGAAAAATACAGACGAATGTATTTAGTAAGGAGGGTGAGAAAGGAGTCAGTTATTTGTCATTTCCTGCCAAAGAACTAAAAAGCAGTATTTGGACACAGTGTTGCTAAGACTGTCTATATGGCATTGGGGCTGGGTACTTCAGCCCTTCATGACCTGGTTCAGCAGCTTGCCTGATCTGATAATTACTTAAGACACTGTATAATAAATGCCAGTGTTGCACAGTACCTTGCTTTGCTGCTTTTTTTTATGTAGGCATTTACTGCTCACAGTAGATCCACATAGAACACAGCTTTCCTGTCTGGTCACTGAGTAGGTTCCTTGCACTGGCTGTTCACACACCAGCATGTTGAATCTATGATATTCTTTTTTGTGTTATTTTGCTGGAATTTTTGTGCATTAAATGGAGGTCTGAGGAGCAGTCAGGCTTTGGTAGCTTACAGAGGAGCTGCAGCAATGGCAGTGGTTTTGCTGTTTTGCTTTGGTTTGGAAAGTTTACACATTACATTGACAACGAGCACAAGTCTTAGGACACTTAGAAGACTGGTATAAGGTCAGACTGACATTGTTATTACTTGGTTTGGTCTTGTAATTGCATTTAATTTCACATCTTCTATTCAATTAAGAAAACTAAAGAATAAAGTAAGACTTAACCAGGGTTTGAAACATGGCTGTACATGTTGAACCACAGTTTTCAGTCATAGTTGAAACCATAAGTTTCAGCTTACTAATAGTTGCATAGCTTTCAACTTTATCATGGTTGTGAAGTGTTCTAGAAGACCATGAACATGCAGTATAGAAGCCTCCTCTTTCAGCTTTGTCTCTGAATTAATTGTTTTCTCATTTAACCTCCTGTCCCTCTAATTTTCTTCAATATGTGTGTCTCATCTTGTGATAAATGGTTTATTCAAAAACAAACATCATATAAGAGCAGAGTCTGGAAAAAATAATGATGTATTTTTTTTTATCTGTCTGGCCTTATGACTTGCAGGGGTCACTTTACATACTTTTTCGTGTCTTTAAAATGAGCTGCTTGCAGAATATTGTTACTGCTGTGAGATTGTACCAAAAAAAGTGTTTTAAAAGAAGCCATTTAAAGCTTTTTAAAGTTCTCAGCATGTGACATTTTGGCTAGAAAGAGTGTTCTCTTTTTTCAGAAGTTAGTCACTAGAAAAATAGTTGAGAAGGCATAGATTTTCTCAGTCATTGCCTTGAGCATTTTGTTTAATCTCTGCAATAACAAAGGGACAAAAATCTTATGTGTATAGCTAAGATTTCTTTACCAAATACCTTTATCATTTGGGGAAAAAACAAATAGAGGAAATTTTTTTTGCTAAGTATTTTTTATAAGCTACTCACATTTTCTATCCTTTTGCTTTGATAGCATTAATAACTCCTTCCTGTGCCAATCTATTTAACATCTCTTCAGTGGTATTTCACAAGTTGACATTTCTGTTTCCTCAAACAAAATTAAAAAGATACTTTTTCTGACAAGGCAGTGGGGAGGTTTCTTTATATACTGCCTGTGGATCCTGTCTGCCTGTGAAGCTGTGGGATTTTTCCCAGAGAAGTTAAGCCATGCAGGTATTGTGCATGAGGCATAGGTGCTGTCAGTCTGGCTTAGTAAAGCATGGCTGGTGCATGTGCATTCCTTATGGACTAACCAAGTGAGCAGAAAAGCTACACAGGAGTTTTCTTGTGCTTTCTCCTCAGTAGAGGCCTAATTCTTCCCTCCAATACATAGTTCTTATGAGTAGTTGCTCTGAATGCTAAAGATGTGGCATATCACTTACTTTATACCAGTCAGCTGAAAAGTTCCATTTTGCCAGTTAGATTTTACCCAGGCTTATAAATAGTATTTCAAACAACTTTATAATATTCTGAACAACTTCACAGTTGTTGGTCATCATATTTAAATATTTAATTAAGAGACTCCATGTTTTTTTTCAGAATTATATTGTATAGATTACTTTCAACATCAAAATAAAATTCAGTTCTTTGACAAGTCCTGTGGTGTTTTTCATGTTTCGTAATTGGAAATAATATATAGTTCATACTGAAAATTGATTTTAGCTGTACATTTGGTGGGGAAAAAGCTTAAATTATTTCTTATGCTGGATTTAACTATACTAATTCATCTTGTCACCTGTTAGTACTTAGAGTCTACATTCCAGCTAAATTTGGCTTCACATGGAACTAATAAATTGTCTTAATTGTATGTAGAAGCATTTTGCAAATAATGAATATATATCTTCTACAGTGTGGGGTGTAACCTCAATGTCTGAAGCTGTACTAAATAACTAAAACTGCTCTTTGTTATGTGGTTTTGTCATTTTCGATACTGCCTTAATGATAAGCGTGCATTGTAGATAATGAGAAACACTGACATAGTTTTCTGTAATCTTTTGTAGATCCAGAGAGGGCTTGTTATCTACATATGCTTCTTCAAAGGTGCTGATGAGGATCTTGTCCCAAAAATTGGTATGATATAATCCATATGCATTATTGTATTGTTTGAAAAGGAAGAAAAGCAGTTGAGGCAGAGAAGGTAGCAGCCATTTGGGTAAGACATGAAATGGCATTATTCTAACTCAATTACCTGGCTGAAAGAGCAGTTTGGTCTGTCTTGTTTCTTTTGACAATTTCTTGTTTCTTTGTCTGTCTGTTCATGACCAACATAAAAAACAAACTCCCCTGATAACATTCTGGCAAACAAAGAAAATGCTGCACCTGCTGTTTACCATATTACATGTGTCAGGCAATAACTTCAGTCCATGACAGAACTGAATTTCAAATAGTTCATGGCTTGATTTGATAAGTATTTTGCCACTGATCTCACTGTATGTGCAGAATATTTCAAATCCGGTAGAGGGAGTTGTGTGGATAATGAAACAGAGTCTTTCCCATCTCGCTTCAGTGGTAACATCCACTGTTAGCATGTGCAGTTTTCTGGTTCAGAAGCAGTAACAACAATGTCTGCAATTCTTGTCTTCTTCTCCACATGCACTTTAACATTTACATTGAAGCAGAGAAGATGCTGTGGATAAGGTCAAGTAGTAGCAATTTCTGTCTTTATCCAGTGCTGTTTGGACTTGATTTTTTTTGTTCTGTTTTGTTTTTGTTTTTTTACTTTTATGTCATTTCTTCTCCCTCCTTTCCTCCATCAGTAGCACTGGTTCCCCTGGGAAATTCTGTGATGCTGCATATTCCAGATAAAAGTGCCCCTTTTCTATGACTGGCTCATACTAGTGATTTGGCTAAAGATTGTGTAACAATATTTCACTATTTCAGTCTATTTCAGGCTGCTGGCTGAGACCAACTGTGCACAAGTACAGGTGTTATTAAAAATGCTGAGAGCAACTCCTGGGGGACGTTCTCTCTGGGTCTTGGAGGGCACAGTCCTTTTGTAATGCTAAATATTTATGATATAAAAATTTATTTTGTGCTAGTGAGAGTTCCCTGAGAATGTTGCTTGAGAATAATTATATTTTCAGCTGTGGGGCAGCTAAGACAGGCCAGAAAAAGAAAGTTCTGTTTCCTATCAGGAGATTCATCTAGGACCATCCTTCTTGAGTGCCTCTCTTAGAGAATATTGTTTCCTAAATATATTTTGAATCTGTTTAAGTGTGTGGGTTTGGTTCCTGAATCACAACTCAGCTGTTTTTGCTTCTAACAGCATTAAACATTTATGTTTAGGGTTTGGAGGCATGACTAGTATCGTCCCAGCTTTTACAGAGTTGGGTAATGATTTGATTTGTTACAGAAACACCAGAAAATCTAAAGTTTGTAAATTCATTGATTTTATTTGCAAGTTTCTGTGCTCTGGCTTATAAGCCAAATTGCATCTGACTTTCCTGCCCACCTTCTGTCTCAAGTGACAAACTGATAGCTGCATGTCTCAGAGTGGAGCCCTGAAGGATGCTTGCTCTACTTGAGACCAAACTCTGGAGCTGTGCCTTCAGCTCAGATCAGTGCTGGGTCCTGCTGCAAACTGCTGCTACCAGAATGAAAAGAGAGTCAGGGCAAAACACTCTCCAAAGTGCACGGAGGATGGTGTGTCCTACATTGTGGAGTGTTGTGCAAATACTGCCTATTTGAGTATCAAGCAGTTAAGGAAGGCTCACTAATTGCATCCTGGGTTCTTTTGGGGGTGTCCAACTAGAATCAACTTTAGGACTTTAGATAGCCAATCACTTCCCCCAAAACTAGAACTTTCGACATATAATATTAATATCCTTCACATTCCTCACAATACTCAGATGTATTAGTTGGTTAAGTATTTATTGATTGTCCATGTTTCAGTTCATTAATAAAGAGTTTCTTTTACTCAGTGGTTTGTCAAAATATTTGTTGGCTCTTGTTTATAGTGTCCTGTTTAATTCACTTCAGCAATACTAACTCTTATTGTATTTTTATTTGCAGTCGATACGCTGTTGAATATTAAATTAAGTGAAAATGAAAACGGCGAGTTTGTCTCTGTTCTTGATTTACCAGGCGACGTACTCATCATACCACAAGCCACCCTAGGTGGTAAACCAAAGGGAAGAAGGATGCAGTACCATGCAAACATTGAAAAAGAAAAAGGGTTGGAACTTTATTCTCAGTTCGTGACTCTGTGTGAAAAAGAGCTGGCTGCCAATGCCAAATGCATGGAAGCTGGTGTTCTTGTCAAGCATGGCACATATGGAAACAGGCAGGTGTTAAAACTGGATACAAATGGACCTTACACTCACCTGATCGAATTTTGAAAAAAATAAATTGTATCCCAAATACAGCACTGGTGTCTTTTGTTCGTTTTGGTTTGTTGTTTTTTTTTTTCTCCTAAGCATTAAAGTGCTTGATTGTCTTGGGAGAGAGTTTAAAAAAGGATTTCACTCATCTGTACTGGTTTTGCCAATCCCATTGAATAGGAGGATGCCTGAGACTCCTTTGCTATAATGAGTATGTGTTTTTTGCTCATATGCATCTGAGGTGTGGTTAAAATATTTGTTAATATTCACCCAATAATTCAAAATATTTGTGAACAAAAATGGGATAATGCAATCATTTTTTACTAAAAAATAAGGAAAAAAAGTATTACATGTATAGCTTGAAGAAGTGGTTTATAGACAAAAAAGAATACCTTAGATGTACTTACATCAATTTTTACCTTTATGCTTTCTATCTATAAAATGACAGTGCTTTCTAACTAACTGATATATTGAAAACAAATTCACTGAATTTTAGCCTCTTAGAGAGTAAGTACTAAATAAGAAAGTCCATCCCCCTCAACTGGAGTATGTAAGGGTGGGAGACTTAAGGCAGTACAGGACTGATCATGGGCTTTGCAGGGAAGAATAAGTGAGGCACATCTAGAAACCAGCAGTATCACTGAATTGTTTGCTTGAAGTTTGCATTCTGAAATCTCTGATGTGTTGTGATAGGCTGCCTGCTATAGCTTGGTCTGTGTCCTTGTTACTGTGGTCTTGCTGTCTCCTCAATTCTTTCATAACAGAGCCTCAGGAAAAGAACAGAAACATTCAAATGAAAACAAAAGTAAAGATGGTACAATGTACATTGCCGTTTCATTGTTCCCTCTGCCCCCATTGCTTCCTTCCAGTTTTTTGTCCAGGGAAGCTGCTAGCAGAGACTAGGTTTCCTTTTATAGGCAGTGTTGGTACATTTGGGGCTCCCCTCCCAGCTGACCCCCCAAGCAGTTCTGTTACAAACATTATTAACAGATGGTGCTAAGAAGATATCATGGGAAATTCTGTCTGGAAAGGCAGTAAGGACAGAACAGCTATATTAAAATGTGGCAAATTCAAAACTGATACAAATGTGTTCATCCTGTGAATCAAGTTTCTCTTTTTAATGCAGCATTATGGTTCAGAAGGGTTCAAAGTGATATCAGACATTTATGTGGTTTGCAGCAATTATCCAGAATTGCCATTTGAATAAAAAATTATTCTGGAAGAAATGTAAAACCTTATGGTTAGTGAGGATGGCAGCTTGCACAATCCTAAATTGTAGGCCAGTAGTTACAAATACTCTGTCCTTATCTTCATTTTGTAGAAAACATTGAGTATATAATCTGTAGGCTCAAACTATGCCATGAGAATCACATTTTTTAACAGATAAGTAACTTACAGTTTTGATAAGACAATAATGATTTTTTTTTCAGGTTAGCATAATATATGCTTAATAATTATGAAATAAATAGGGATATTGAATTCCTGACAACTGACATTGTCACAGTTGAAAACAACCATTTACACAAATGGCCTGGAAATGTTAGCTATTAGGACCCAAATGACATATTTTTTCATTAATAATTAACAGTTATGATAGACACAGTATGAGTCATGTTCAAAGTTCCTACTAGCAAGATTTAAATAATATTGTCCTGATGCAAATAACTAATACAAATTCATTATTATCTGTGTGCTTGAAAAAACATTGTAAATCCTCTTTCTGTTGGAGGTCAAATCCTAAAAAGTGCTGAGTAATGCCACTTTTCACAGACCTTACAGCAATTGTGGGTATTTAGTGTATCTCAAGAATTGATTCTTTGAGGCATAATACAAAGTCTGCAGCTTTTAATTTACCTCCTGTCTCCAGAAAGATCATTGGCAGCCTGGCAATTAATTATATTTAAAGAACTTTAAGGTTTCTAAGAGGGATAAACTTGAAAATGTTTAGTGAAAAAAAGACTTCAAACCAAACTCTATCTCATAGCAGTCTGTCATATAAAGCAGATAAAAACTAATGTACATTTCAGTGATTCTCAGGGCCAGACAGAACTCTGAAATTTTTGTAAGAAAAGTGGATATTTATGTATTATCTGCCCGTTTCTGATTTATTTGTGTATCCATCTTGGAATACTGATTTCTGCTGTCCTCTGCTCCAGGGATTGGCAGCTTGTTGAATGCTGTTCCCTTTGTACTGCTTTATTTATATCTACTATTGATTCACAATCCATTTACTGAAGGAAGCCATTTCTGAATAACATGCTGGACCCTACTGATAAAAAAATTGATTAAAATTACTTTTTCTAAGCCAAATGCTTATTCCCTTCAACCATGAATATACGCTTTAAACAGATGACCTGACTCTGCTTTAAATAGTTTTCGTAATATGACTAGACAAAACCCCATATACTTATCCTGTTCTATACTTAGAGAATGTCTTTCTATACTTAGAGAATGTCCATTAGAAGATGCTTAATATTCCCCCACTTCCTTGAAATAACCTATAAAGTGAGGAGTTGTCCTTATGCTGTTATGTCTCCAATTGAACTGCCAGGTAGGAATTTGCAATATAAGGTTTTTGTGACCTTGTTTGCAGTGCACACACCCAGTGTGTTGAAGCTGAGCATGTGTGGACTATGAACTGGGCTCATAAACACTCACTAATGAGTTCAGGGGCTGTTTTTTAGTCAGCAATATTCCTGCTTCCTTCCCACGCCCCTTCTGGAAATTTTTACCTCTGCTTCTACATAGAGTATGCAACATATGAATTTACAACATACAAATATTAATCCAGAATTGGAAATTAATAAACAGCACGTAGCCCTGCAATACTTGCAACTGTATTGCTACTGCCAGTGACAGTCCACAGACCTTGTCCCAAGTGTTCCAAGATCTCAGGATGGAGGCTTATTACAGGAACTTTCCTCAGGCTTCTCTTTGGTTTTATTTGATTTGGCCATAACAATTTTTTTTCTAAGGACAGGAGGTTATTGCTAATTTGTTTTACTTTTATGTGTAACCACAGTTGTTATACAGATACTAATAATTAGTATTTATTCTGTGTAGAGTTATATATGTAAGACTCCTACAGGGTGTTACAGGGTACAGAAATATAGGCCTATTAAACCAGCAGGAACTTTGAGAAGTGAAGACACCAACAGCAGTGTAAAGTAGAGGCATGGGATAGTAAGAGTTGAGGCACAGGCTGGCACTGGACACTCCAAGGCTATAAAAAACTTGTCAATGGTCAGTTGAAGAAATACAAACCTGGAGCTGGGCAAAACTATTCCTAGGGATAAGAAAAAGAAGAAAGAATGAGTATATAGCAAACCACTTAAGATTTACAAAAAGAAAAATACATAGTTGCAGGCCATTAAAGAAAAGCAAGGAGTAAAACTTTATTAGAAAATGTATGAAAAGAACCCCAAGTGAGAGATATTGCCAAAAAATGGAGAGAAAGAAGAAATCAGAAACATCCACATTCTATTCCTGCAGGCACAGAACTCCAGATGCTGATGATCCACTGTGCTCCCTCGACAAGGTGGAACCACAAGGAGGTGAAAGGTCAAGCATGACACCAGGACGAGGGTGAGGATAAGTACTAAATAGTGCATGCATAACAATTCTTACCATATTTTTATTACTGAGACCTTCTGTACAGTTTCTTTCTTTTTATTTGCTTTGTTTTTCTGCAATAATATTTGGACTGATAATCATTCTTTTATTAAATTGCTATGGTTTCAACTAAAATAAATTTGGTGTGACTCTAAACATAGGGTGGATTTCTTTTTGCCTGTAACAAGATTTTGCACATAACAGTTTCTGCAGACAGTTTCTTCCCCATGTTGAAATGGCAGCCACTTGATGGGCTGCTGGATATCAGCCAGCCTTTGTGGTGCTTTTCGCCAGGTCTTTTAATGCATCTGTGATGTCTGATCTCATTTACCACAAAAACTCCTCAAAAATTCTTCATTGTGACTCAATGCAATAACTGCTCTTTAGCTCCTCTTCGAGAACAAAGTTTCACATCTACTTGGATTTAAAAGTATGATCTGCTGGACCTCTGTCTCACCTCTGGTATAAAAAGAGCTTTTTGGAGAAGGAGGGATGACGCTTTTAAGCTTCCGTTATTTTTTGCTTTTAGTTTCTGTTCCTGTCTTCTCTATGGACTCCTTCAAACACATGGTTTCTCTTTGGAAGCTGGAGTAGCAGTATGCCACGGAGGACTACAGTGGTCTCCACAAATGCACAGGCATTCATTACCTGAGGTCTGCCACAAAACTCTGTTGTGACTGACTTCACTTATTAAATTTTCGCATCTCAATTATCATCTAATAAATGGCTATCTATTTTTGTTTTCAGTGTCTTGATCCTTAAGACCATACATGGAACCAAACAATGACCATCACTGTCTAATGTATTGCACAGCACTGTGGGATAGTGCTGGGTTGTCTGGGAGATCCACCAGCTGCTTTATTCTAAACATCAGAGTCACAATTGCTGGACAAGAACAGAAAGTAGAGCTTCCTCCTTAATGTTTTTCTTGGGGAAACAGCACCTAAAACTTGATGAATTTGGTATTTCTTGTTTATTCTTTCTTCATTTCTTGAAGCTTCTTGAAAGCAACTCAAAACTTGGGAATCCTCTGAGAGTCCCAAAAGATTCTGTTACCAGAAGCACCATGCAATTACAGCTGAAAAGTAAATGGTGTATGTGGACAAGAGAAAGAAACAGCAGTTAGAATAGCCCAAATACTATGAATATATTGCACATTTTCCATTTAAACCAATGCTGTCTTCTAGTCCAATTACTGCCAGTGTGTGGCTTTGGGCAAAGCAATTTTCTGCTCTACTTTTTCCATCTGTGATCTGAAAGAAAGAGTCAAAATGGGGGGAAAGAGGTTTAAAACCACTGGGTTTTCCCCCTTTCACTAAAAGTAAAACATCATCTCTGATCCTCTTTTTCCATTAGAAGGCAGTATGCTTTCACCTCTCTTCACCTTTGTTGGAGCTACAGGAAGTTGCCTTTCACTACCTCCTACTTTAGC